ACAAAAAATGGATAAAACGATAAATAATACAGGACTTGATTGGTCAGTCAACAGAAATATCAACACTCGCTTGCAGTTATAAAAATGTTGGATTTATGAAAATTTTCTGTTGCTTCATGTTAAATTACATGCTTTCGGTTCTAATATTAAATTCATAATTTTTGTTAAAACATAGCTATAAAGTTTTTGAATATAGAAAGAAAATAATCTTCTTGTGGTGACTTCATACTTCATTTAATACATTGTCTGATTAGATATCGAAAAAAAATAAAACCTTTGTAGAGAAGTAGGATTTTTTATAATAATAATAAACTATATTTAGCACATTTCTATATATAATAATAAAATAAATAGATAATTAGAAATGTAGTAGGTAACAAAATCACAATAAAAAGTGAAAACACACTAAGATATCTAAGACAATAATTGTTTATCAATTGTGCTATCAATAATTGTAAAAATATAAATTTTTTTAAATTAAATTAATCAAAAGTTAATCAAATTAACTTCGACAACTTTGTCCAAAAAAAAAACACGAGTGTCCCAAATACTCTATACGATATCATCGAAATTATTCATAAATTTAGTCGATTTTTCGCACTGACAAATTCATATAAGCTTCAGACAAAAAAGGAAAGAAAAAGCTTGGATGTTTTCATGTGCAAGTATCGATCCTCAAAGACAGCATGGGGTCGGTTTGGAACGCGAAGAGATATTGTATATGTTGTAGACATCAATTGAGATAAATACAAGGCGTATCGCAATCCAATTTTAATTTCTATAAACAATGATTTGGAGAACAACATGACAACATTTTTCCGGCTTTTCATGTGCAAGTACAAAATCCCCAAAAACGCGATATTCCTTCAGGCTTAGTTTTGTCGACGGATTCGTGAACAGCCTACTGAAGATGGAATTAACAATTGTCTTAATAAAGATAAATGGCCGGAGAAAAATACCCATAAAGATAATTTTTAATGTCGGTTTCGTATTAACCACCGAACGGACAGTATTCTGGTGCCGCAAAATTATTAGTTGTTCGGTCCTTTCCGAATTTATTCCGAATAATTTATATTTTTATAAAGATGATTTAGAGGAAATATTGACGATTTTGCTTCTCCAACTTGTCCCAATTTTTTCCTAGGACTGACAAGAGACTCTCTTGGCCACCGATATCAACGGATCTCACTTCTCTAGATTTTTATCTTTGGGAAAGTATTAAGCCGTTGGATTAGGCTAAGAAAAGTGAATACAAGGGATGCGTTACTAAATCGCATTTTTAATACTGCAACCTGGACGAGAATAATTTTGTTGCCGAATTTACTGATTGCATCAAGATGCAAATTTCGCAATTTGAATAGAATATTCTTTATATGATATTTTTGTACTTTCTAAATATGCCACTCAACCCATTTCAGAACAATCACTCCAATTTTGAACCACTCTGAATAAGTGATCTAAAATGGGAATAAATATCTTTAATACGTGGGAAACTTACCGGAGAGTAAGTAAAGGCCTTTAGTAAACACAGTTAATATAAAATATGACTTGCGTAATAATAACGGCATAGCATTTGCTATAACTCAATTATGTAATAATTTAAATAGCTATATGATTAGTTAATTGTAAATTAAAACCGATAATCGATCGTACAGCCTTGTCAGTAAATGTTAAATTTACTTGCATGTATAATCAACGTGTGCATAAGCTTGTACCGTTGCCTTTACCTACATTTTTATCACAAAATTAGCGAAACAAGACATTGATGGCTTTCGAACGATTGTGTGTTTCCTTGCAAAAAGATTACAAATTTGAAAGTAGGTTTATTACATATACCTAGATTAATGTCTTGGAAGTGAAATGACAAAAAAATGGGCTATTAGAACATGGGGCTTTTTTACGCTACAAATGTTCTGAAATCATTTCAGATCACACATTAGAACGTTTCAACTATTTCTCTCTGGTGTAGCTTAAAGGCTCATCTGTAACGTGATCGAGAAAATTTACGCCTTTATCTGTAGGTACACGCTGTAGATCAGTTTATTTGATTCGAAGATATGAGAATGTAAACAAAACAACTAGTTATTTTCAACCTAAACAATAGCGTAAAGCAATAAGCTCTTATGAGTATTAATAGAACCACTGAATTAACCACGCAATTTTAGGGTAGGACCACATTAAGGTAAACAGATGGGGGCAGTTCACCCCTCGCACAGTGCAGGTAAATACAAAAAAATGTATTGATCTAAAGCGCAGTAAGGACTATTAATATTATGTATAGCTAGGTGGTGTGGTAAAAAGTCAATTTTTAAATCTTTTATTAACTAATCGGTATTGAATAGAGTAAGTTGATATTAAGAAATAAAAACAACATGATTTATGGTTTTAGTAGTTTTATGGCTACGCTGGTGAGATATTTAATAATATTTATTTTTATTAGTTTTATCGAATGACAAGAGTGGAATAAAGGGACAGGGTGAAACGATATTTGACAAAGCAACTTTTTGCAAGTTTTATAATGAAAATATAAAAACAGATTGATAAGTTTTTGTCGAGCAATACTTTAAGATAGTGTAAAGGAACGTATATTAAAACATGTCTCCCTGTAAGTCAGTGTTTATTCGAGGGGCAAAGCCGCAAGTACTTAAAAAGAACTGATAAATTTAAGTGCAAACGGTAGTTAGGGAGTATATTTCACAAATGTAAAACGTGATGAAACGATTTTCAGACCATTCTTGTCACTTTAACGAAACCTTCGAACAAATTGTACTTAGATTTCAAACTTTGGATTTTTCTGATGAACCTAACTGACATATTCGGAACAAACATTGTTTACCCTACCTTAGAGCAGTTATAATCGATATGTATTATCAATAAAGAGCCGTAACTAAAAACATATGTGCATCATTAAATATTGTTAGATAAATAAATCATAACAAATGATAATAATTAGACGTCAGACGACTTTCGCATTACTATGCTTTTAGCACTTCAATCAGTACCCGATGACACATACATCAAATCGAAAGATAAGTTTAAAATATATTCAGCATAATCAGTTTTGTGAAATAAAAGGCTGCAATTCAATTAAAAAAATATATATTAGTTATAAAAATTACAAAATTATGAGCTTTGTGTGACATTTCACTGGGCATTTTAAAACCTTTCTATTGCTGATTATCTCAAGAAATGTAATAATTATAAATCATCTCGGATAACTGAGATTTCTAACGGGTATACATAGTTTAAATTCTCAGGGAAGCTGGCACCTAACCTCACTCCAATCGATTTTTCAATTTTTTTATTAATAAATTACAGTTTCAGAACTTCTTATCAATGCATTCAAAGTGATAACGGGTAAAACGTCAATTAGATCTTACCTAGTTGCGATATTGTCACTAAATTTCAGGTTTTTCAATCAATCTTACACAAAAAACACTAAACTCGAACAGAAAACCAACCGCACAGCTGAACGATCACACACAAATTACGCCATATTGAATTGGATGAAATGTCAGTTGCCTACCTCTGCATATTACTGTGTTCGACGCGTCTTGAGACAATCAGACGTTATTTTAACTACATATTTATATCTACAAATACGGTGGATTTCAATATTTTTTTAAAATCAGAATTACAGGGAGCAGTAGAGTATATAAAAATTAAGGGTTTAAACACAGTCTTTATTTATATAAGTGATATAAAGTATCGGTTTTGTTGCCTGCTACTCGGAACGAAGTCGATTAGCTGTGTATAAAAATGTTTATAGGGGAGGCTTGGGCAATTTGACAATGTATGTAAAAATTATTTTGCACTAAGGAGTTATTCGAATGAATCAAATCGAATAAAAGACTACCTTGAATACCTACCCATTTTGGTCTAATAAAAATGTAAGATGTATGCAAGATGAAATCCATTTTGGCCCAAGTTGTACAACACATAACAAGTTAAAAATAAGGTTTTTCAATGACACCTATTATCCCCAACAATGAGCATAATTTTGGGAAATCAAACATGTACAATGCACTAAATGCAAAAGCCGTCTTTGAAAATCGATCCTTAAACAAGCATTAATAACAATTAATTTCTTCCCCTGAATTAAAATTTAGGGGAAGGTCGGGCAACGATTAACCAAAGTGTAAGAATTGCGACGGTTTGAAAGTATAAGTAGTATTTACAAAGCTTCTTGGTCATAGGTAAAAATTTGAGTATGATCAGTTTACTGCATAGATTGTTCCTAAAATCTAAACAATTGTATGTGACCGGAATCGTCATATTGATGGGTGCTTTTATTCCAAGAAACAACCTTACGTTTATCAGTGTTGTTGCATCGCGGGTATATTGAGTGTTTTAAGTTTTAAGCAGAATTGTTTAGCTGTACTTTATTATTAGTTAATAAAGATGGCATAGTGGATTAATGGCATATTAAGTTCTGAAGGCTCTGAAGTAGTAATGAATATGTGAGCTTAAATTTTCAATCAATCAAACAAGTTTAAAATACGTTTCGGTGGTTTTCGACCATCCTCAGTTTGTTCGTGTGTGCAGTTGTTGTAGCTACGCTAGGTTTGGAACAAGCTGAGGATGGTGAGAAAAACAGAGAAACGTATTTAAAAAAAAACGTATAAATTGTGATTTGGAAATACATGACTGCAATACAGGAATATTGTTTATACTAAAATTGGAAATACAGTCAGGAAAACTTACATGATAATTTGCTTACAGTTAAATCTTTCAGAAACTGAAAAAGTTTCAAGCCTCTTGATAATTTTCGAGATAATTTAAATGCTTCAATTTCTATTTGCATGAAATACTTTATTTGTTCTAATAATGCTACGTTGAATAGTCATTAAAAAGTCAGCCAAATCTATTATTTGACTTTTTGCGCTAGTTATTTTTCTTCAGTTTTCCTTCTAATACTGGAATATTTCTGTTGCTCGATATACACGTTACATACATGTAATTACAAGTATCACCTATATAAACTGAAATAAAAATGCAAATTAAAATGGTACTTAATTTTTAATTAAAACAAATATACAAATACAACAGATTTGGACTTACGTACTATCACAACTTTGATTGATACATCATTCGATGTATGATCCCTTGTATCAATCTCTTAAAATGAATCTAGAAACGCAAAATTATTTACATGGAAATACATTAAAGAAAAATATTGGAACAAAGGGTAAAATATGAAAATATTAGTATTTTCTATTGAAAGTACGGCGTAAATTTAACAACTATTCGAATTAATGGCGCTATATTTTATTTGCAATAATAACTTAAGAACCTAATTTTAGTTTCTCATTAGATATTCAAGGAATTGAAAATCATATAAAAATAGTTATAGTTAAACCTATGTTATGAAAAATGTTTATTGTAGGCTTCCATGCAACTCTGAAAGTTGGTGGTAAAGCAATATGGGCATTAGAAACCATAAAAGTTCTCTAACTCTTCAGTTTCATCACTTTACAATACCCTTCGAGAGATTTTAGATTTACAGCTTTACAAGCAGATTTACATTTAAACTTCAGAATATGATTTCACCGTCATGTGTAGTTCGGAATATTATAGGAATCTTATAATTCAGGTCAACTTCAAATCCAACTAAACATTCTTGAAACTGAAAGAACATTTTGTGCTTGATAATTACAAGCATATGTTCTATTATTAATTTTTTTCCTTAATGCATTTTTTCTTATATTTGGAAGACTCACAATTTTGTCAAATATTTCAATTTTACCAATTACTAATCGCCTGGTCGATTATTGAATTTGTAGACATACTTACTGCCAAATATGGACATATTCTTTGTGAGCTGAAAAAGATCCAAATATTATGCTCCAAAATTTTTATAATTTTAATATGCCAGGAAACGAGACGCTCTGTATACTAGTTTGGTTAGCCTACTATTGAACAAACGAAGGCTATAACATTATACTATCTACTTTAGAACTATCACAGGAGGCCTAGTTTATTAATAGAACAAAGGACAATAACATGTCTCAATGACAAAAACAGAAAAGTATCTGACAAGAAAAGACAAGAGACATACAAGAATAAAGCGTGATTTAACTTTCTGATCTGAAGTCTTTATTATATTGCTTATATATAGATGCAAAGGAAATAGTAAATAACAGCACATGTTAAATTGTCGTCCTACAGTCTATGTAACACAAATTTCGTTGTTCGAATTTTTGCAAATATTTCTTCAACAATTTCATTACCATAATGACAATATTATTTTATCGAAACTCATTTGAGCAATGAAAAACTAACTTTCCTTATTGCTTAAACAAATTAATAAAACTCTAAAACTCTCATAAACGGTGTAAGCAACTTTACATAAATAATCGTAAAACAGTAGGTAGGTACACAAAAAACCGAATCTGCTGAGTTTTCGTATGAACCACCTGTAGAAAATTGTGCACGTAAACAATATCAACATGAATAATTTGAAAAAGGAAAAACGAGAATTGCCAAATTATTGTCTCAACTCCAAACCGAAACTGCACAAATATAAATTTTATTAATTATATGCGATTAAAGAAGCAATGTCGTTAGAATTAAATCAAAATTAAAATACTGCGACGATATGAAGTGATATCAGATAAAGAGTGGCAATTTTTAAGTATTTAAACTGAATCCTCCTCCGAAAATGTTACTTTCTAGTAGCATTTGGGGTGAAACGAAAGTTATATTACATAGACTGTATAGGTACTGCTTTTCTTTATTCACACTTCACACAGCGTGAATTTTACATTTCTGTCTAATGTCACAAAATTCGTAATTGCTATTAGTATTTAGACTATCTACTATTAGATATACCTACTTACACAGACAATATATATCTACTTTGAGCCCTTTTGCATACTGTTACTCCCCAACTCATCCAGTTTGAAAAGACAATAGCGTAGTTATATAGTTAACTTCAGAGCAAAACTATTTTTGCCTTAAACTCGTTTGGAGTTGCCAAGAAAAATGTACAAAGGAACTGATAATTCAGTTTACTGTCTTTTCAAGCTTTTGAGACGAGTTGAGCACTGTCATCTACATCTTCCAGCGGTTCTTTAATATCGTTCACACTAACCGTTCCGTTGGAGTTCAGTGCATCAGCCTGTGGTAAGTTGCCGCTATTCGCATCTTCAATAGCCTTTCTCAGCTCTTTTAGGCCAACAACTCCTACTAGCCTACCTGTAATATAACAGAACTTATTTTATATTATTTCACTTACTTTATTAATGTTGGCCAATGTTTTAAACATATTAAAGTTTAAAATGTTCTATTTAGAACATATTACTTTGATATTAGAAATGTTAATGGAAGTGAATTCCGAGCAACATTTTAATCAGAAAATAAAATTTTAATACAATTGAAAATATGCAATTAAATCACGCTTCATTTTGGTTGAAGTGAAATGTTGAAGTAAAATGTGAAATGAAGTTGAATGAAAAGTGATTTTTTTTAAGAGAGATGTAAATTTAAGAAGCAGTTCTTCAAGAAGTTTCCATTGATAAACTTTAAAAATATTACCTATAGCTGTAACGTATGCGTGGTTAACTCCCACCATAGAAAATAACGAGTGGACTTTCAAAAGCGAGGTTCTTTCTACCAACTGGAATGGAGCAGGGTCAATGTGGCAAGCGGTAAACTCTACTGGAATTTGCATCTCCTCTTCCTCCCATTTCTTCTGATCCTCATGGCTCATGTCGCATACTCTTTCTTTGGGCTAACAGTGCAAATTAATTTAATTAAGAAAAGTTTTTCTGCAATTTTAATTATTTGTTTATTGCTTCTTACCAATTGAACCTTTTTGGATGTAGACGGGCTCATCGGAATGATTTGCGGCCTGTCTTCCAGGGACAGTTGCGTATCGAGAACCGGATTACTATCATTTCTTTCGACATCTTGGAGTTGAGCAGACTTTCTAAAAATTGAAACCCCGTTTAAAAGTCACTAGTTAATTATTTTGAAGCTTAAATTTAGTTTAGAAAAATGCAATTGCCTTTCGTCCGCTTACCTGAATATTGCTTCGAACGCTGACCGAAATCGGCTTTCTGCACCAGTTACAGTACTGTAAGGGGTGTGTCCTGGACTGGTGCCCATAAATGGCGAAATTCCCTTAAGTGTGAAAGAATTGGTCTTCTTCAGAATCGATTTTTTTGGCTGAGTACCAAAGTTGGGAGTGTAACTGTGCTGAAATTGAAGGAATTCATCGACTATAAAACATATCTGGAAACTTTGCAGTTTGCCGCATTTTACCTGATGTGCTTCCAATTGGTTTTCAGACAGTTGCCTCTGCAACATATCTGGAGCCGGTGTTACTTGGAATCTGGATGGTCTGCGTTTCCGTTCTTCAGATTGTAGTCTTGCCTTTTCAGCCGCCTCTTTTTGTCTGATAGCAGCCACTTGCAGTCTTCTTTCTCGGCCGATATGCTTCTCAATCAACTGTAGGCAACAACAGTATAATTTAGGTTTATTTCAGATGAAAATCATGTTTGTGTAGAAAATTGAAAATGTTCCGGAAAATTCATCAATCTTAGTGGAAGTTTTGATATGATTTTTACCTGAATTAGTTGCAATCGTTGAATACTACCTAACAAAACCATACTTTCGGGTTTGTCAACTAAAGGAAAACTTTGCAGTCTGCGGTTTTCCTTAAGCAGTTGCTTCAGTTCTTCATATGACATTCCATGAAAAATGTATTTGATATCTCTTATCATAAAGTCCTCCACGTATATGCTATACATGCCTAGAAAACCAATTGATGAATTAATTTGGTGATGGAATAGCCATTAGTGTTGATTCGTATACATATGTCGCACTTATGTTAAATAACGCTATAGATATTTAAAGTTAATTAAACATATTGTGCACTTCATTTTCGAAACAAACTAAATTATCGTTTATGTTTTATATGTAAATATACAGTGTTTCCACTTAAGCAAAGACATATGGGAAACTTCCTATTATAAATATTACAAAAAAGGTCATTAGATTATTTTAAAATTTTCTGCATTTTCTAAAATATAAAATACAACAATCAGTTATTAAAGTATTTAAGGCGTGCTTGCGGTTTATAACAAAAAAATATTTTTCGAAAAATGTACATAACTCGAAATATGGAGTCGTCTCCTAAACTGGGCAAAAAATAATACTTAATCAGACAAAAAAGACATAATTTTAGAAAATTTAGTGTAATTTAGTAACTGAATAATCGATTTTTTGCCTTTTTGGCGGTTAATTTGAAATTATTTGTGAAAAAGAGTTAGATACAAAAGTTGTCGATTTTTTGTCATCTACAACTTTTGCATTGAACGTTTTAATTTTTAACAAGAATGTTTATATTAATGAGAATTTATAAAAGATACATTTAAAAATATTTGAAAAACAGCAAAAGTAAAAAAAAGCAAAGTCAGCAATGTGTTTAATTAATCTCATAATATACATTTTTTGATATCCATTCTCAAAATAAACAAGATATTTTCAAAGGTTTGTCCTTGTCCATCTAGAAGTCCTTTGGAAGTATAAAAAATATAGCTACAATTACATGATTATGGAATGTTTAAAATATCAGAACTTTGATGTGCTTCATAGGATTGGCTGGTGTATTTTATTGAAACCAATAGACGCAAACTTTATCAAGAAATTTTACCTTTATTCATTTCGTTTGGGTTAATTTTCAGTATATTCTCTTTTCATATATGCATTGATAGCAGTGATCGCAGGGATTTTCCCCTAGTTCTAGAGATTTTTCTCAGATAAAAGGAAAAAGGGATTTGTTATAATTATCTAGGTATTTAAAAAAAAATTCGTTTATATGCAAAAATAATAGTTCTGGGAAGAAAATATGGATATATTGGACTACATAATGCTAGCAAGTAGGGAGGAGACACAATTTGTTAATGATCTCGGTGAATTATTTGAATTGTTTCTTTATTCATTGTTCAAATCCCCTTTAAGGTCTTTTTAATTTCCCGGAAATATTCTGTACTGCGATGCAAAAATTAATACACATGCAATGAATGCGATTTCCAACCGTCCCACCTGCATATAAACTTTCTCAAACACCGATTTCAATTAAAGCTTGAATTTAAAGTAATAAATGAAAAGAATAAAAATTGAAGCAAAATTATAAGTTCCATTTTTTTACATTTTTTAAATTTGTGTAAAAATTTACAGTGTAATATACCGTTTACAATTACCTTTTTTAATATATTTTTTTTCAAAATCTAAGAAAAACTAGATATTTTTAAGTGGCTATCTAGGGATTTGAATTTTGCCGATCTTGCATCACTGATTGATATCAGCAGTTTCATCACAGTAAGCTTAACAAATTCAACAACTTTATTGAAAAAATACATCTGGTGTTAAAGTAAATTGAAATAAAATGTAATAATAAAATGCTTACCACTACTACTAGGCAATAGATCTGGTAAATACGGTAAGCGTTTGATTAGGATGATGCTATCGTACATACTAGGCGCCAGTAAGCTTGCTATGGCGTTCGATATTAACACAGCAATCATTATCGGTATGATATGGGTTATCTGTCCAGTCATTTCAAATACTATAACAGATACTGAAATGGTATGGGTCACAGATCCTGAAAACGCAGCTGCACCAACTGTAGCATAACCGCCTGGGATAATGTCGGCTACTTTACCTCCATATCTCATACCTGAAAAATTCGATAGTTTAGTTCAATAGTTGGTTTCTTTTGCTCCTAAGAGGTGTGGGAAAGTCAAGATGGGAAATATAGAAACTTTGTGGCCCTCATGGCTAGTGCGGTAGTTTGGAAAAGTGTAGTGAACTTTTGAAATTAATGGGTGGAAAATGGAGGATGGGGCGTCAGCTTGCAAAAAGCTGGCAAGCCTGAGCTCTAATCTATGAATCTGTTAGCTTGAACTGAGTTTAATTTGGGTTAGTGTGCCGAAAATTTTGTCAACTTAGAGTCCCTACAGCAAAGGAAAAGTTTTCGCATGTTCGAAATTCTTATACATTTTAAGTTTTGAAGAGCGCAATTTTAAAACTAACCGTGGATACTCCGTGACGCTGACAAATATTTGCTTTGATGCAAGGTTCTTACTGTGATTTGGCAAAGAAAGTTCGGGCAGGTTTAACTAAAGAGATCATTGAATTATTCTAAATATTGCATAATAACATAGTTGAAAAGGCATCTGAAATAATTAATTTCTTTAGAAAATTTTAAACCTTTTGAAACGTTTTTCTCTATTTTCTATCTTAGCCCCAGTAATCCGTTGAATAAAATGACCTAAATTTTGGTGCACCCTGTAGCACTACAAATCTATAGTCTATAAGTATCTACGTTCAAAATCAGTGCAAAATATAGTTATGAGTATGAAATCGTTTAACATACAAAATTTCAAAATTTAAAATTTCAACTTACCATGGGGAAACCACAGATGCATAAGTTCTCCAACGACTCGCCCTATAGCGGCTCCAATTTTGAATACTGGAATGAAGGCTCCAGCAGGCACTGGTATGGTTGAACATATTATAGATGCTATAAACTAATCAAATAAAACAAAACATAAAATAAACACTTGCTTCAAAACATTAGGCTTACCGTAAAAATAATATAAATATGTAAACAAAATATCACACCAGTATAGTCAGTCTTCCAATGCTTGATGATGCTCTCTTCATATGGGGTATGATTGGTTTTAGTCCAGCTAAAATTGCTGAACAGCGTCACCACTTGATTATGGGTTGTTAGATCACCTAACATCGAAATTACATGCTTGATTATTTGCAAAATAAATATGTGATTTTAAGATTCTACATACCCCCTAAAAACTGCCCGGTTCCGGGAGGAAAAGTCAAAGTAGACACGCAAAGTGTGACAATACCAGGATACAAAAACCGACTGAAAATGTTTTAATACTTCTTACTGCGTATTTATAAACGCAATAATAACGACAATTGACTACTCACTTCTTTTGTAAAAAGCTGTTAATCGTTTTGCTTTTCCTCATAAACAGCACATACTGTCGATGAACCCATACGTAAAAGGCACCACCTAACCCACTGATAGCCCTAGAGACAAAATATGCTAGTTTAATATGTTTCAAGTAAATTGATGTCTGTTTATACCCTATCAATGCAAAAACAAACAACTCCTGAGGATCGAAAGGAAAATCCATGTAAAAGTTGGTTTTAAAAACAGCCGTAACGGTATCGGCACTTTGAAACCACACAGCCATTAATCTGAACATTGTGGCTCCACATACTGCCGCAAAGAAACCCCTCCAATAATTTCTGACCGCGAAATAGGTAGTTGTTACTTCAATACTAAAAAGAACACCTAGAAAGGAATATTATCAACTTTCTGGCACACGAGCTAAGAGGACCTGCTTACCTCCAACAGGCGCAGCAAAACAACTAGCGACACCGACGGCGCATGCTGCAGCTAACATTTCAGTGGTCCTACTCTCGTTTTCGTATATGCCTTGAAATCCTGTTACCAACTTACTTAGTAATGTTGCTGAGATACTGGCGATGTGTACGAAAGGTCCTTCTTTCCCAAGTGGTACGCCACTGCCTATACAAAAAATAAAAATAAAACTTTCGAGTCCTAATTATTAATAATAGGCAATGGACAAAATAAAGCATTTTTCTATTTGCCAAATACTTGTGGTTAAGAGCTAGTTTTTAATTCTTCCTAAATCACAGACAAATTTTCAAAGAATATTTTCAGCTTATGGATTTAGACAATAAAATCTACATATCAAATTAATGCGTTTTCGGTTGCGTATTGACCTTATTGATAGAAATGAAATACAGTTGTAAGTCGGTGGAAAAATGGTTTCGGTAAGAATTTAATGCAATCATTCTTTTGTGGTGTTTAATTATCTATCAGGAAAAAATGCAATTTTTAAACCATATTTACTTTATATTTTAAGTATCAGAATTGAGTCCTTAAAATAACCCTGAAAAGTTAAAAATTCATATTGACTCTGTCCGACTGTGTTTATGTGTTTTATTTTGATTATGATCGAAAAACGTATTTTTTGACAATGTTCTTAAAATTTACATGAAATTATGTTTTTGTCCATTTACAGTTGAGGTGCACAGTATGTGTTTTGTCATTAAAAGTTGAATGAATATAATGCCGCCTCAGCTAATTCAAGTGCTTGAGTATCTATACATCTACTGCAAATGTATGCAGTGTTAACGATAGGGAAAAATAAATAAAATAAAAATACAGAAAAGTTCTTCACAAACTAAATATCAGACGACAAAAAAGTTAAGCAGAATAAGAAAAACCCAACATTATTTACAATGTCTTTTGTAATACTTAATTAATTAATAAGATAAGAAGAATTTGATAGATAAGTTTTATATTGTT